GCAAGCCAGCTTTGCCAGAGGACTGGACGTGGCCTGCTGGGAATGGGGCGTGACTGGTAGAATGGAACACATTGGGCTAACAGAAGCAGCTCCCTGGCAAGATCACACGTGCAGATGGCTGCAATGACAGGAGTGAGCAGGAGTGTGCCACTTCAGCTACGCTGGGTTAACATGGCAGTGGTAGGAGAGGGGCACACCGGTAATTCCAGCACTCTGAGAGGCTGAGGCAGGTGGATCTCAAGCTTGAGCCTAGTTTGTGCAATTTAGTGATTTGATGAATCCCTGACTCAAAATTAAAATTTAAAAAGGGCTAGGGGGTTGCTAGGGAGATAGCTTGGCACTCTAAGCACCTGCCTGGCAAGTGCAAGGACCTGAGTTCAGTTCCCAGTACTGCATGCCATGCCCACCATGGAGCCCTGGGCATGCTGTGCTGGCTTGAAACTAGGTGTGTTAGGGCACAGCTGTAATCCCAGAACTGGGGAGGCTGAGACAGGAGAATCACTACAAGTCCAAATAAACAAACAAACAAATAAATGGAATCTTGGCTTTGCTCCACCCAACTATTTAAAAAAAAAAAAAAAAAAGGAGGGGAGTGTGCTGAGGATGTACCTGGATGTGAAGGCTCTGGGTTCAATCACCAGTATTAAAAAAAAGATGAATCTCCCTATTCCTTTTCACTTTTTAACATGTTCTTGAGGGGTCCATGCTGCATAATCTCATAGCCAGGTGGCTCTGATTTAATTTGTAATTAAATGATGGCTCACTTCCAAGCATCTCTGATTAAATTTTATTAGTAAAAAGACCAATAGAAGTGATTAGATCCATTTGCATCCCCAGTGGTTTAAGCAGGCAGGAATGCATTAATGTGACTGATTAAAAAATTTCAAGTTACCTGGTGGCTCAAGCTGGACCGCACACTTGCAGGACATGGATATGCATGTTGTAAGCATGGAAAGGCACAAACACAGGCATAGGTGCTTCCCCTCGCAGATAGGACTCCTTTTCCACTTAGTACCCTTCCTGGACACTGGCACATCTACATGTACGGCATCCTTAGTGGCCACGTTGACCTCCACTACATAGTTAGGCATAATTCACTGATCCAGTGAACTTGGGCTGTTCATAGTCCTTTGTCCTCTTTTCTTTTCTTTTTTTTTTTTTTTTTTCCAGAACTGGGGATTGAACTCAGGCCCTTGTGCTTGCCAGGCAAGCACTTCTCTACTGAGCCATCTCCCCGGCCCCTAGCTATCTCCCCAGCCCCTCATCCTTTTCAACAATGCCACAAGAGCATGGTTGGACAGCCCACTGCGGGAGTATCCACACCCACAGGCAGGAAAGGAGAGTGGGGGGAGTGAGTGCTGAAGTTGGAAGAGATTGAGAAGGCTCCTTAGGCAGCGCTAAGAGACGTGGATTGATCCTCCAGTCAACAGGAAACCACGAATAACTTTTTGTGTGAATTATTTTCTCTGTATTTTTCCTTCATTAAGATAGCAATATAAGTACACTGCACTCACTAGAAGGAAAAATAAAGGAGCGAATTCCCTACCTGTCACACAAACACTTAGGTCTTTCAATCACTGGTGCATATTTCTTCCTTTTTTTTTTTTTGTAATCTTTATTTATTTGGTAGAGGTTCTTGTTATGCAGCTCAGACTTGTAGTGATCCTTTTGTCTCAGCCTCACCAGCCCTGGGATTACCGGGGTGTACCACCACGCCACGCCCAGTTTCAGGTCTGGCACAGCTTGTCCTGGGTTCTGGGCTGGCATGGCATGTGGTACCGGATATCAAACCCAGGAATTGAACCTGGGTCTTTGCACTTGCCAGGCGGGCACTTAGACCACCGAGCTATCTCCCTGGCCCAACATTTCTGGTTCATTCTTGCTAATTCTCACCGCTGTGCTTGTCACTTTTCAGTCCTTTCTTCCTTTCACATGAGTCAGCATTTTTACGCCTGCTTGTGAAGTCTTGGAGACAAGCTTATTCCCCAAGTCCTCGGTCGGGCTGGACTCTGAGATCTTTTCCAGTTGCACCTGCTGAGGCAGCTACCATCTGTCTCTGGGACTTCCAACGCTTCTCTGTGCCTGTCTTCCAGGCAGCGGTCAGCAAGCTGGTCTCCCTTGGGTCCTACACACCCATCTCTAGTCCCTCACTTCCTTCTAGTTACCATCCTATCTCTTTCCTCCATATACTGTTTTCTTCTTGGGAGAGTCACCTACACCCGCACGCCATTTCTCGCACACTGAAGCCCCAGCCTCTCTCCTACTCCCACTCAGCCCTCTGGGCCAGGGCTCTGGCTTCCTGTCCCTTGTGCCCCTCCTGGTGAATCCCTGCAGGCTCTCACAGGCCTGCCTGCCTTCAGGGCTCCATCTCTCTCCAACCAGATTTAGACAACTTCTGTTTTCTCACCCTCAGCACTATCCCTCCCTTCAGTTGAAGGCCAAGGCATGCCCCATCATCTTCTACAGCTCCTGCTATAGCACCAGCACTCCGCTTCCTGCCTGCCTCCAGCCACACCCTCCCACCATGTCCAGGCTCAACAATTCCGCACAAGTACTGTTTCCATTTCCCCTCACCCACCCAAGTAAAAATCTGATGGTGGAACACCCTTGAGAAAACCATCTGGGGCTCCCCACAGCCCATGCAGGGGTGGCCCTGACTTCTGCAGCCTCAGTGCCAACCACCCCCGCCTGCAGTGCTGCCTACCTGCCAGGCCTTCACTCACCTCCTCACCTGTGGTCACCTTGCCTTCTCACCAGCTTCCCTCCCTTCCTCTGTCTCCTCTGCCTGCGTATCTTCTAACCGTCCAGGTCCTACCTTAGAGGTCACCTCCTCCAGGAATCTTCTTGACTTCCTCCTTGTGTGACAAGGCTCTGGTGCCACCCTACGCTTGACCTCCTAACCCCAGTGTGCACCCTACTCGTGACACTCATTTCTTCTGGCCTGTCAGGGAATGCACTCCTCGATCCCCTTCTTCCACTGCACCCACTTCTAACCCACACTCTGAAGACAAGGTCTATCTCACCTCTAAATCCCAGACCTAGCACAGTGCCTTGTGTTGCACTTGTGTGTGTGTGTGTGTGTGTGTGTGTGTGCGCACAACTGACCAGAAACAGATGGACATCCTGATGCATAAACTATAGCGAAGAGCATCGCCTATGAACAGATTGCGAGACTGGAGCTACAGATGAAAAGGGGATGAATATGAAAAGCTTTCAATTTTAGCTTCCCAAAGTTACCTTCATAATTCACACTCTCACGAGTGAGCCTCTCTCCGTGTAGGTCAGCAGCTTGGCTATTTTCATTATTTTTTTTTTAAGTGCTGATTTTCCTAGGCAAAACCAACCACCTTATTCTAATTTGTATGTCTCCGGTTACTAGGAAGGATGAATGTTTTTCCATATATTTGCCTACTGAATGTATCTTTTCTTTGAAGATTTACCTGTTGTTATGACATAAACACTGTAAGGAAGGTGGACAATGTATGAGTTGACTCGGGGGTGCTTGGGAAGTGAATGGAAGTAGGGAGGGCTCTGTGTCACCCGGTGACAGAGGTGCCAGGCAGGGGTCCCTGTGGAGACTTTGTGAGGGGACAGGAGGTGGGCAGAGACCAAAGAAGCCAACTCATCTCAACATAGAGACTGACAGCAGACAGTGGGTGCAGGAGAAGTCTGAGGACACAGAGATTTCTGGCATGGCCAAGTGAACAGAAAGAGGAGCCAGGTCTAAGGTGGTGTCCAGGTAAATGCAAACACAGCTGCAGGGTGGTTCTCAAAGCTGCTCCTAGACATGTCCTGTGAGGATCCAAGAAATGGAAAACCAGGAAAGGTGGGGCCACAGGGTCTGAGGCTACTGCCTTCTTGAAAGAGACCAGAAAGCGTGAGCCAGAGTTTGGAAGGATTTATAAAACGGGGAGTGGAGCTAAGGGGTTGCCAGGTGATGATGGGGGTCTGTTAGGAAGCAGAATCACCATCTTCACCATCAGCTGAAGTTCTGCCAGCTACTGCAATGAGCAAGGCCTATGTTAACTCACAGTCCATGATGGCCCTTCGAGGGCAGTACTTTGATCACCTGTCTTAGGGATGAGCAGACTGACATGCAGGCCTTGCTGGAGGTCAGACAGCTTAGAAGTGCCAGAGTTGGGGTGCAGATGTGGGGGTCTGGCCCCAGTGTCTGTGGTCTTTCACTTCTCCCCAGGAGACTTGCAACATGCAGGGTTTTTCCTGAAAAAGCACCTATTATGCATAAATCCCATAGTCTACCTTCTCTAAGTCAGGAAGGGGACTACTGAATCCTGTGGAAGGAACTCCAGCCTCACCTGAACTTCAGCCACAATGGATAAGCAGTTTCTGATCATACCCAGTCCAGCAGTGTATCTCTGTACATCCAGCTACCACGCCACAAACTCCCCTGTAGCCTCTTCTGGCCTGTTCCTCTGACCAGGGTAACCCCGAGGCTAAGCGCCTCAGCCCTAATGATACTGTCCTTCAAACTGGCCCAAGGCCATGCCCTGCAGCCCTGCTGTCTGTCCAAAGACAAGCTCAGTGCTCATGAGACAGGCCCTGCTTAGGGAACTCATGCTACCGCCAACCCAGAACATTCTAGACAGCTGGGCAAATGGGTGAGGGGTTTAAGCACCAAGGGGGAGTTACCATGAAGATAAAATAGGAGAATGTGCTAGGTCCCCATTGTGCCGCCATCGGTGGGCGAGCCCAAGAACGAGGGACAGCGTCCTTGCTACCACATTGGTATGTGTCTCTGGAAGGCACACAAGAAACCTAAGATTGGATGCCTCTACGCGGAGGAACGGCAAAGACTCGTTGCTGGCTATGTTCTTTCAGCCCTTTGACTCTGTGCAAATAGGAACAGGACATAGTCTCATTTAAAAACAAGAAATAAAATGAAGCACTAATAGCACATGAATGATCTGCGTGTGTGTGTGTGTGTGTGTGTGTGTGTGTGTTTGTGCACATAAGTGAGTTACCAATGCTCTTTCCCCCAGGGTAAGGAAGAGAATCTTCTGGCAGCTGACTGTATTTGCACTTGGCTTCTTAGTCCCGCTCCTATACTGGTTTCCTATCAGGTACAGCTTCCTTGCCCTAGCACCTGAGGTGGGGCCACCGTGGTCAAAGTTAAAGTGGATTGTCCCAAGTGCCTCTTCAAAAGATGGAGAGGGTGGCTAGCTCAACCCGGGCAAATGCCTTTGTAGGCTGTCCGTCCTCTGTGTACCCCTCATTGCTGGCCCCACTCCACAGGAATCTGGATCTCCTCATCCCCATGGATGTCTGCCCTTCAGCCACAATGGCTCTGCTGAAAGACAACTTCACAGGTGGTCTTCAGCTTGGGTAAGGAGCTACCATTCCTCCCACAAACGTACAGAGCTCTGCCCCATGCCCCTGCCCTCCCCATTCCCATCCCACATGCACAGCTTATGCACCTACAAACCCCAGGGTCCCCACTGAGTCACACATCTCCTAGTCTTCTAACATTCTGACTTGGTTCTGAGCCAGGGGCTTTTAGAGGCAGGAACTGGTCTGACCCCCCTGTAGGTACCTAAGGCCTAGCCCTAGGGAGGTGGCAGTGAGCACACACTGAGTGGTGCATGAGTTGTCTCTCCATCCCTACCCTGGGCCAGGAACCGGCCTGATGTCCTGACCTGTACCTCCTGGAAGGCCCCCATTATTTGGCATGGTACCTTCAACCCGGATGTAGCCCAGCAAAAAGCCAGACAGCAGAACCTCACCATTGGGCTCACTGTCTTCGCCATAGGCAGGTAAGTCCTGGGGAGAGCAGCAGTGCTAACCAGACAGGGAGTAGGAGCAGTACATTTGCCCGGGTTGAGCTAGCCACCCTCTGCAGGTGTGCAGGGATGTCTGACACCCTGTGCCCCGTACCACAGATCCAGAGTGCAGCTAGAGGCTGTGCCCCTTGTCCCGGACACCCAAGGTGAACCAACACAAGAGCATCTTTGCCCTTCCCCTCCTGCCTAGACACCAGTGCCACAGAGCCCAGCCAGCATAGGCAGCCAGGAGCTCAGGATTGTGTCCTAGAAGAAATCTGCCCAGGGGCTAGCGCTGGTCCCCTAGGCTTGTGAAGAGGAAATGACAGAGTTTCTCAGGTGAGAGTGGGGCGGGGGGAAGGGAGAAAAGAAATGGGCAGGCAAAGGGAGTAAAGTGCCCACTGGAGGTCAGCCTAGCCACAGCACAGAGTGGCAGTGGTGAGGTTCTGCCCGGGCATCTGGTGGAGGGAGAGGGACTAGGGGACAGAAAGGGTCTACAAAGGAGTGAGTGTAAGCTGGGTAAAGAAGGATGGCAGGTGGCAGGCTCTGAGAAGTGGCAGGGTTAGAAGGCTTGGTGAGGCAGGGTGGGTGGGGGAAGCAGAGTGAGCTAAAAGAATGAAGGGCTCATGGTGACATGAGTGAGGCTGAAGTTTAGAAGGTGGGAGACTGATGATGACAAAGACAAGGGAGTGGCCACAGAAGCAATGACTGAGAAGGGTGGAGGACAGAATGAATCACTGCAAGAGAAGAGGGCTGGTAAGGCACTGAAAGACCAGGTAACAGATGGGGCTCTAGGTATGCAGAAGAGTGGGTGGAGAAGAAATGGCAGGGACACTGACCTCCTCACTGTGGATAGTAGGCAGATCCAGGGCAAGTGGCTACCTTCCTGAGGCAATGCAAAGAAGACTCCTGGCTAGGAGTGGCAATCAGAACTGTACCCCTAAGGCAGAGGGTACAGTCCTGGCCAATAAAGGACTTGTTTCTAATGCTGAGACAGCCTACTGTGTAAGGTAGTGAAGGCTTTCTCTCTACCCAGGAAAAGATCTGAAAGGCTGGAGAAGGAATTTTTTGCGAGGCTCCTCAACTCCATCCCCCACACCCTAGAAGGGGAAAAGGCCAGGAGGGTAGCTGAGAAGCAAAGGGGCAAACAAGACCAAGAGCTGACCATGGACAGGGGTAGAGAATTCCTGAGCTGCTTCCACCAAGGAGGCCAAGGAGTGTTCCCGAACCAGCCCTAAGGGCATCTATCTCAAGGAGCAGAAACCCCAGGATCCCAAAGTCCTGAGTTCCAAGCCCCTGCGATGCTGAGATCTTCAAGATCTCTTAATTCCCATTTCGCACAGTTCCACTAGGAACAAAGCAAAGGGCCCAGATGCCAATGACAAGCTGGGCTGGTTCAGTCCTAGATTTACCATTCGCCAATTGTCTGTGCTTGCACAACTTACCAGAACTCTTTAAATGAAATAATGCATGGTGGCTTAGAACCACAGGAAAAATGGTAAAGATACTAAGTGTTTTGACATACCAGTATCCAAGGTCTAGTAATACAGTTTCCAGTATTCCAAGCACTCTGATTATCTACCAGAATTACTACAAACTCAATCACTTAAAAATGACTGATTTTTGTTTGTCTTTTAAAACTTTATTTATTTATTTATTTATTTGATACAAGGGTTCTGGGGCCTGTACTCCATGTGGTACTGAGGATCAAACTTGGTCCTTCAGCTTGCCAGGCAAGCACTACGTCCCTAGATAGATAGATAGATAGATAGATAGATAGATAGATAGATAGATTTTTTTTTTAATCTTTTTGACACAGGGTTTGACTATACAGTTCAGGCTGGCCTTGAACTGTGAGTGATCCTGCCACCTCAGCCTCCTGACTGCTGGGGTTACAGGCATAAGATGACTGATTATTCTTCCAGTTTACCATTTGGAGAGTCAGGAATTCAGAAGAGGCTCATCAGAAAGGTTTCCTTGATGCTCTCAGATGTCTGGTTCTCAAGTGGCAGAATAAATGCTGGGGACCAGTGGGGTGCTTGCTTCTCCCTTTACCCTGCCTCTCCACGCAGCTAGCCTGGGTCTCCTCACATCTTGGGACCTTTTTTTTTTTTCTTTTTTTGGCGGAACTGGGGATTGAACTTAGGCCCTTGCGCTTGCCAGGGAAGCGCTTATTCTACTGAGCCATCTCCCGGGCCCCAGGACATCTTACACAAGGGCTCAGAGTAGGAAAGAGGCAGACACTGCCAACCCTCAAGGCCCAGCAGTCACTACCTTGGTACTGCACGGGCCAGGGCAGTCAAGGAAAAGTCCATGTCGGGGGTGGGGGTGGGGATGGCACACAGCACCCTTTCTCTTTAGGGCAAGAGTGGCAAACATGCAAGCACACCCTGGTTGAAAGGCACTGGGTCTGCCTGGGGTTTCTGGATTTTCCCAGACTAGAGTGGGCAGGACGTGAATGGGGGGGGAGGGGGCGGTGGTAAGGGGAGGGGTGGCTAGCCAGGATGACTTCGGAAGCGCCCACCCTGCAGGTACCTGGGGAAGTACCTGGAGCGTTTCCTGGAGTCGGCTGAGCGGCACTTCATGGTGGGCCAGCGCGTGGTCTACTACGTGTTCACCGAGCAGCCGGATGCCGTGCCCCACGTGGCGCTAGGGCCTCACCGGCAGTTGCGCGTGGAGTTCGTGGCGCGCGAGCAGCGTTGGCAGGACGTGTCCATGGCGCGTATGCACACGCTGCACCAGGCGCTCGGCCGGCGGCTGGGCCGCGAGACGCAGTTCGTGCTCTGCATGGACGTGGACCAGCACTTCATTGGCCCCTTCGGGCCGGAGGTGCTGGCCGAGTCGGTGGCGCAGCTGCATGCCTGGCACTACCACTGGCCGCGGTGGCTGCTGCCCTTTGAGCGCGACGCGCGCTCGGCCGCCGCGCTGGCACCGCACGAGGGCGACTTCTACTACCACGCGGCCGTGTTCGGGGGCAGCGTGGCGGCGCTGCGCAGGCTGACGGCGCACTGCGCGCTGGGCCTGCGGCAGGACCGCGCGCGCGGCCTGGAGGCGCTCTGGCACGACGAGAGCCACCTCAACAAGTTCTTTTGGCTGCACAAGCCCGCCAAGGTGCTGTCGCCCGAGTTCTGCTGGAGCCCGGACATTGGCAGGCGAGCGGAGATCCGCCATCCGCGCCTGCTCTGGGCGCCCAAGGAGTACGCAGAGGTGCGCGACTAGCGCCCCCCACGGGGCCAGCCCAGCCGCCTCCCAGCCCGCGCCTTTGCCTCCGGAAGGAGTGAAGTGAGGGGGGCTGACCGCAGGGAGAGACCCTGTGACCAGTGCCTGGGGGGCGCCTCCGGAACTGCGCGGCAGGCTGGAGGCCGGAGAAAGGCGAGATGCAAGGACCCGCGTGCCTGCCCCTCACCTCCACGGGCGATGCAAGCGCGGCAGCAAGGGCACCTAGGGCACGCAGTCTGTAGACTTTGACCTCTGACCATACTGCGTATGGCTGCTGCCTCCCGAAAGCGAGAGGATGTGGTTTTAGCTTCACCTCAACCCCTCGTTAAGTGCAGAGCCTGTGATACAAAGAGAGATGTGTCTCCCAGACTGACACAGTCATCAAGCTGTCGTTGTGTCAGTGTGGAGAACCAATCCTGCTGCTGGGACCAGGGGCATGAACCAGAGGGAGAAACACTGCAGGCATCCTGACGTGGTCTTGCTACCTCCCTTGCCCATAAGCAGGGAGACTATATTTATCTTGGGTAATTTTATTTTTATTGTTTGGATTTATTGGGTATTGGGAATCAAACCCAGAAGCTATATCCTCAGGCCCCTTTTTAGTTTTTACTTTGAGATAAGGTTACACTGAATTGCCCAGGAAGTACTTGAACTTACAGGCTTCCTCAGCCTCCTAAGGTGCTAGGTTTACAGGCATGTGCCACTGTGCCACCTTTGAGTAATATTACAATAAATTCTTCCAAAATTGTTTTATGACCTAATGTGTTAACCAGTGACTGCAAAAGTGACATTTTGTGGCCTCAGAATGGTAGGGCAAAGTCTGGCCACCTCAATGTATCTGTAATGGAAGTTCCTTTGTCCCTGCCTGCCCTCCAGACTCAGTTTCCCATTAGGAAAAAGAGGCTCTGTAGATTTTTTTTTTTTTTTTTCCCAGAACCAGGGATTGAACTCAGGCCCTTGTGGTTGCCAGGGAAGTGCTTATTCCACTGAGCCATCTCCTCAGCCCCCTAGAGGCTCTGAATAGAAAGTGTAAGTAATGAAGCCCTCCAGGAATATTGCCTGAAACAGGCTCTGAAAGAGTCGATTGACTGTGAGCTTAGTATTCACGCTGGCCTTGTGTTTTTAGCAGTCTCCACTGTTCCCAAGTATAGTGGCCAGTTCAGATGCCATTCCAGCTACTTAACCTAGCCCAACCAGGATTGCTTTTACAATCTGGTAATTCTAACAAACAAGTTCAGATCTTGGTCATGTGTTGCTCCAGAGGAATCACTCCTTGAGCAGTCATGACCTCTACCTGAACTAGGTGAGCAAACCCCAAGCCTCTGGGAGTCTGGATGAGAAACAAGGTGGCCAAGTTGTGCCCAAGAAGAGCTCTTTGCTGGCTCTGAGCTGGCATTTACCTTCCTTCCGTGGGAAAATTGAAGAGAATCATGTTCACTGAGCAGCCAGATGCTGTGCTCCACGTGGCGCTAGGGCCCCACCGTCAGCTGTGCGTGGAGTTCATGGTGCGTGAGCAGCATTGGCAGGACGTGTCTATCTTCCATCCTGCCCTGCAGCATTCACCAAGCCTAACAACCCCATGGCCACAGGAAGCTGACCAGCAGCGCGTGAGGTCTGAAAGTGAACGTGCCCCTCTACCTGTGTGTGACGCTGACCGGCTCCTTACTCTGTTGGTGTTTTCTCACATGTAAAATGGAGACACCAGTGGTCCTCTTTGTGTACTCCAGCAGTCACACCCTGCCTTCTCTACCTGCTTCCTTTCTTGCAAATTCTTGGAGTGCAAGGGATTCGCTAAAGAACAGGGGTGTCCTGTTTCATAGGGGAATAATTGGCGTGATCAGGAGTGTTTCTGTTTCTAGCTCTGGGCAGCTGTGTGCTGCAATGGAGACCTTCCTGAGGAGAGAGAGGGTTCAAGGAAGCTTAGGTGGAGCGGGAGAGCAGTCTCCACAGAATGGCTGCCTTCTGTGGAGCACATAGGCCTGAGGAAGGTGCAGGGTCTATAGCGGGGCTCAGTATGAGGCAGTATTGAAAGGGAGAGAAAGCTCCCTCTGCAGCCACATCCACGATCTTTGCCATTGTTCCCAGCACCTGTCCTGGGCACATAGGGGCAGGGTGCTCACCCACCCTCCAGGTGAGCAGGTAGAAATCAGCCTCTCAATCCCGAGGGTCATTGCTGCATGCAAAATTGTCCCCTGTCCCAGGTTCCAAACCCTCTGGGCCAGTTCACATGCCATTCCCAGAAACTCCTCCCCATCTTTGCCTACCTTAGGCAACATTGATTGTTACGGTTTATACCTAGATGTTTCCCCAAAGCCTCGTGTGATCGTGGTGGAGCTTTTGGAGCTGCAGGATCTAGGTCTTAGGTTCTAACATGTGTGATGCTGGGATTAAGGACGTGGAATACTAAATTAGTCTACTGATTGGAATTGTCATAGCTCTGGGTGTGACTGAATGCATTTGCTGAAGACAGAAGTCCCATCCTGGATGTGGGTGGCACTACCCAAAAGGGTTGAAACCTAGATGGGCTAAAAAGGAAAGGCCCAGGTCCTGCCTGTCCTGCCAGGGACTGTCTCTCCTCTGCAGTATCTTTCGGCTTGTCACTCTGCCTTGGATCCAGCCAACTGTGGCCTGAAACCTCTACAAACTGTGAGCTAAATAAACCTTTCTTCCTTTATTTTGTGGGTGTCAGGTATTTTTGTCCCAATAACAAGAAAAATAACTGAGGACACTGATCAAAAAGAACATGAATCCCCTAGGGCTAAGTCAAATAGCAGCAATTAACAATAATAATAGGTACATTTTGAAGATACTATGTGCCAGGCAGTTCTGGACCTTAGACCTGTAGTAGTTCACATAGTCTTCATACCCACCTTATAAACTTTTTTTTTTTTTTTTCAGTACCAGGGATTGAACTCAGGACCCTGTGCTTGCCAGGCAAGCACTTATTCTACTGAGCTATCTCCTCAGCCCACCTCATAAATTGATTACTGCTATTTACTCGATTTTACATGAGAGGAAATCAGGTTCTCAGAGGTTAAGCACCTCAAAATCTTATCACTGGGAACACGATCGTGGATGCCAGAAAACAAAATTAAACATGGCCCGAGGAAAAAGATTGGGAGTTGGGAATAGAGGTTATCACTAGCTTTCAATCTCTGTCCATATTGTCTCTTCCTCTTTATTCATCTCCCAGTTCATGGAGTGGAAAACCGACTAGAGAGGGGTAGCTTCCTCCAGTGACACACCAGTAAATGTTTAGCAACTGACTCTTCAAAGAAAATCCCCTGGGGCTGGGGAGATGGCTCAGTAGAATAAGCGCTTGCCTGACAAGCACAAGGGCCCGAGTTCAATCCCCAGTTCCACCAAGAAAAAGAAAAAGAAAATCGGGGGTAGGTGTCTATCTGGACCATTCAGGTATGGCTGGGGATGGGGTCATGCTGGATCGGCCACCACTATGGCTCCTAAAGCCCTTCTCTTCTGGGCATAGCAGGAAGATTAGAGAAAGAGATGAGACCTGTGACTTTACTTACTGGTTCTGGGCTTCCCACATCCATCCTTTCTGATGGGAGCACACTGCCTGGGAGATGTATTCCAGACAGAGGCTTCACTCTGCTCCAGTACGGCACAGGGCCCAGGTCCAAGCCAAACAAGCACACAGCCCACCCCATTTGGAACCAAGGGGGCTCAGGGGGACTTCTGCTGGCCTTCTGGCAGGATAGAGAATGGCTGCTGGAAGCCTGGAGCTGGGAGTCTGGAGTTAACAGGAGCCCTCGGATACAGCTGACTCTGAGAACAGGGCCAGGTAGACATCTGAAATGCATCCTCGGGTCCCTGAAGCTGGCTGGACTGCAGGCCTTTCCACCAGCCAGTAAATTCTCCTTTGAATGGATTCCTGTCACAGGCAGAGAAGCCTGGATCCAGGACCTTGAGGGCTCTGAGGGAAGGCGTTCCCAATGGTGACTCCATGGTGACTCCAAGTGGAGGCTCTTCTGTCTCCCCAGTTGCCCCCACAGGGACAGCCCTAATAAACCCGGGGGTGGGGGGGTGGGATTATTTCTGCATCATCCTCCAGGCAACCAAAATGGGGGCCCCTCCCAAGGGGATAAATGGGCCTGAAGGAAGCCTCTTGGGCCTGTCCCCCACCCCCAAACACTTGAACAGCTTCCAGGAATCAGGCACTCATGACGGATCCCTCGAGGGCGCTCCTTGAGAAGAGACTTATCAGGGAATCTGTGTATCAGGACTAGACACAGCTGCCAAACGGATGTCCCTGCCATTTCGCTGCAGTGTGGCCCTCAGCAGGGTGCGCTGGGGCCCTGCAAGGTGAGGCTGGCTCATGGCAGGTGGTCCTCTCCTCTCCTTCCTTCCCGAGTCAGGGTGGGGAAGGGAGATGGAGCTGTGGGAAGGCGGCCCGGCCCGGCTCCCACACACAGCACAACACACACTGCTGCACCCAGGTGCAGGTAGTTTATTCTTCACAACAGAGAAATACAAAGAGCAGAGGGGGTGTAACGTCTTGGTTTCTTGCCCCTTTCGTGTTCTTCCCCCACGCTTGATTTTGCTCCCCAACTTTTTTTTTCTTTTTTTATAATTGCAAACTTCTCTCCTGAAGTGTTGGATGGGCACCTGCCCTCGCCTCCCTGCCACCAAGATGCAGACTGAGAAGCCAACAGACTGTTTTCTCTTTTTTAATAAGGTAACTAGTTCTAAATATGGTGGCCTGGAGGTCCCATAGAAAAAAGCAAAGGGGTGTTAACAGTATGTATAACAGCATATTTACAGGGTAGTAACATGCGGACGAAAAACTACAATACTGAGTATCAGACAAGTCAAACAAAGGGTGGGGGTGGGGCAGAGAACCCCATGGGAATAGAAACCCCAGGAAAGTGAAACTGGTAAATCAACGGCGAGTTAAGGCTTAAAAAGTGTATAAAAATAACACAGTTAATATTCAAAACGGAACTCCAGATACAGAATATATAGATGAGTTTCTGTCTAGTTTTCTTTTTTCTTTTTTTCCCGGGGGGAAGTGGAGGGGCTTTTCCGGGCTCTGTACATGGTTCCTATATACACGGACACACATGGCTTTCAGATTGGGGATGTCTGTGGGGGCCATCTGGAGGGCAGGGTCTGCTCCTGGGACCCTCCTGGAGGATCCCTTCCCTGCTGAGGGGCCTGGTGCCTGGGCTGGGGATTCCCCTTCCATGGCAGTGAAGACAAATAACCCCTCCCTGGGCATTGCCCTCATCTGAGGAAACTCTGAAAGGGGGTCCTAGTCCCAGGCCCACTCCCTCCCCATGCCCCTGCCCACAGTCTGGGGTGGCAGAGAGGTAGCCGATAGGTTTCCTGGCCAGCACCGAGGTAGACTGGGGTGGTCGCCGGGGAAGTGGGGGTGAGGCCAGGTCTTACCCAGCCCTCCCCCTCCCCCATTTTCCTGGGCCCGCTGTCCAGCCTGTCACTGCACTATTTTGGTCCTGCAGATCTCCTGGCCCCCTTTGTTGCCACCTCCCCGAAACTTGGACAGCCCTGACGGCTGCCACATCCTCTGCTCAGTGAAGCCCAGAGCACAGCTCAGATGGCACGAGCAGGGCATCCAGGGCTCAAGGGCTTGCTTCAGCTGCCTCCTACCCCCACCCTCCCGGGGGTCCCCTTTGCTGCCCAGAACCCCTGCCTGAGCTTCCCCTCAAGACCCAAGGCCACAGCCGGAGATGGTCTCACACTGCCCTCTGGTTCTCTGCATCCATCTGTC